TCAAAAAAAAAAAAAAAAAAAGTCTATATACTTCTGAGTAGTTAAGTGCCTTGTGCAAAGAACGAGGAGGAACTCAACCCAGATCTATTCACTATGCTGCTACCTAAGTCCTTTGTATTGCTGGTCTACCACCCAGTGCTGTGCTGTGCTGGGCCTGCTGAAGTTGCTGTGGGCTAATGTCCATGCTGCTTGCCTCATGCCTCTCCTTACTCCTGGCTGCAGGGCCTAGCGAGAAGACTGGGGCTCCAGCCTGGGTCTGGTGGTCTAGCACAGAGTGGTGGACATTACTGCTTGGCTCTCCACGTGTCCCCGCTCACCTACCCTTGCCCCTGGCTTGTCTTCCTAATGCAGAGGCTGCAAAAAAACTCCTCCAAACCCTACATTTCCCAGATGCCTTTGCAGCTCCGTTTTTGGATGCAGAATGGGTTCTACCAATGAGAAATGCTCATGAGAGATTTAGAAAGTGGAAGCGAGGCAGTGTGGGCGTGTGCATATGTCTTGCTGAGAAGCAGGATTGTGGAGCTATACATTTTATTTTCATGAATTTGTGTGCTTTGTTGGACCCATTTCCAGGTCATAGTTCTGGTAACTGCCTCTTTTTTCTCCACCTTTCTCCCTATACAGGGGAGCTGCTCCTTGGTGACCCATTTCCATGGTGTCACAAGGGTCCTACCTACTCCGGGGCTGCTCAATCTGTGGTCTTATTCACACATCTTTAGCATCTCCTGAGAGCTTGTTAAAAATGCGGAGTTTTGGGCCCCACCCCGGACCTACTTACTGAATCTGAAACTGTGAGGGGGTGGGACTGAAGAAGCTGTGCTTTAGCAAGTTGTTCTACCGATTCTTTTGCACAGTAAAATTTGAGAAGCCTACGGCCCACTCTCTCAGCGTCTTCCAGTGATTTCGCAAGCACCATCAATTCTTGTATTAAGTTCTTTTCTGCTTAATATACCTAGAATGGTCCCCACATGGAACTCCGGCTGCCCGTGTCGGGGTTCTAGAGTTCAACTAGTAGGGTTTGAATTCTAGCTCACTGTTTAATAGCCATGTGCCCATGGGCAAGTGACTTTGTGTGGTAAATTGTAATTTTTTCCTACCTTCCTTTTTTCCTTCCTTCTTCCCTTCCTCCCTTCCTCCTTCCCTCCCTTCCCCCTTCCTTCCTTCCTTCTTTCCTTCCTTCCATCTTGCTTTCCTGTCTTCCTG